CTTCCAAGGGAAGTGGTGCTGGCCCCTACCCTGGGGGTCTTTAAGAAGAGGCTGGATGCCCACCTAGCTGGACTCGTTTGAGTCCCATTTCTCTTTTTGGGGTTTTTGTTGTTCTCCCGCCCTGGCGGGGGGTCGGGCTAGAAGATCTACTAGGTCCCTTCCGACCCTTAATCTATGAATCTATGAATCTATGAAAAACAATCATGAAATATAAAATTAATGGTCAACTCAGGCCATTTACACGAGGGAACAGTAAATTCAGAAATTATATGAATGTTGTTAAGATCCAGTTTTTTTTAGGGAAAATGCCATGTGGATGGTTTGGATATCCTTGTTTTTCTTTTTTGTTTGTTGGGGACCTTGACATCTAAAGACCATTATTTTTTCACCTGAGAAAATAAGTTTTACAGCCGGAGTGCTGTAGAGGTGTGTGAAATATCCTTGTTGCTCTGAGAGTGCACAATCCTGTCTGCATTGTAGTTAAAGTTAATATCTAACCCCTCCCTCCACCCTGTGGATGATATTTGTAAAATCTATATGGGAATTGGAGTACTTTAATATGTAAATTCAAGTTATTTCTCCTGAAGAGTCAAGTTTGCTTTTTAGGCAGTCCTTTGTAAAGCAGGCTTGATTGGTGGGGGTTACTTGGTTTTGGGTAATACTATTTAAAGTGAAGTCAGAATTGGCTTTCAGAGTCTGATGAATAAAAGTCCACAGTATAAGACTGCAGCTTTTTGTGAGACACATCTGTGCTATAACAAGAGGAAGACCCAATTTAGACAAATGCTGGAATCAGTGCTTAATAAAAGGAATGGCCTTTTTTAGCTCAGATAAAATATTTGTACAAATAAACTTTTCTTTTCGGCTGCTCATCAGAATTGCTGCTGCACCACCAACTTGGCTTTGAATTTTGCTCTGATTGCCCATCAAGGCTGTGCATGCATGTGTTATGGAAGACTAGCTTAAACAAAACATGTTTGTTTCGCAGGAGACCCTAGCGGCTTTGGGTTTTGGGAATGAAAATTTAGGGTTTGGGGACAGAAAGTAGTACACAAAACGGGGATAATATGTAAGAGGAAACATGGAAGTAGAAATAGAGCTGAGTTGAGAAATATATGAAGGGAGAAAATGCACAAAAATTAGTGGAGCCCTATTTTGGGAAAACATGTTTAAAGAAGCCATTTTAGCATATGCACACACACAAACAGCTGCTAATCTTCTTTATTATTATTATTATTTGTCCTCTCTCCCCCTCTCCCTCCATACAATCTGGTTTGAGAATTTAATCTTACAGCATTGATCATTCTTAACACCTTGCTGTTCAAGATGAAAGCAGCTAAGAAAACTGAAGCTTGAAATAAATAAGTAAAAGATGACAGTGCTATGATGACTGACCCACCCAACAAGATTGTTTGTGTTTGTTTTTGTTTGCTTGCTTTTTAAGTTAGATATGCTTCCCATCTTTTAAAGGAACTTACAAAAATCTATTTGGTTAAGTTACTTGGGTCATGATGTTTCTCAAAGGAATTGCTTTAACAGCGTCAGTTGTGGTTTGAACATTGTCACTCCTTGTGGCAGTGGGAAAGAGAATGGGTGTTTGATGAAGAGGGTAGAAGGTTGAATTTGCAGTGAGAGCATTTTTATTATTAATATGAATATATGGTCTTTCTTACTTAACTTCAGAATAAACACCCCCTGCAGTTTTTTTTGTTTTTGTTTTTTTTTGGGGGGGGGGGGGTTGTATTTGATTAGGCAGCACAGTTTGAAAAATAAAGGATTTTTCCCTTATATTCATTATAACATCCAAACATTTGTTTTCCATATTCCCCTGGTAAAGGTAGAAAATACTGGAGGATTTTTATTAAGCAGAGTCTTACAGCACTTTGGGAATTTTGGCTGTCCTTTTAAAAAAGTGGCAAAAATTTCAACAAAACCTTCTGACTCTAAAATGTTGCTGTTTTGGGTCTGAGCTTTGAGTTGGCTGACCAAGGTGAATGAAAATATATCTATCACATGATTAACTCCAGAAAAGTTAGCTTTATTTTATGATGCTATCTGTTCTTGACATTGGAGTAATGTTGACATACAGAGGAGCAACAATTGGCTTATCAGATTAATGGATATGCAGAAATAGTTTTATCAGCCATTTAGAGCAGGGGGCTATATTGATTAATTTTTATTTTCCTTTTAGGTGCAGCTTCTAGTAGCATGGGACCATGGTCCCAGTGGGGGACCCTGCATATTTCATTTATTTCTGTTAAGGCAAAGTGAATTGCCTGTGGGCCTGACCCAGAATGGTGACTGCCTGGTTTTGAAGTACAAGGTCTGGTCATCGCAAAACATTTTAAACCCTATTTAGTGTAAAGGCAGGTGCTTTGGTCTTCCATATAAATATCTGATGATCTTTTTCTAATCATCTGACAACTTTTATCTCAGTAATACTAAATACTAGTAAGTTTAATGGTTCACATTTTTTAAAGCAGAATCAATTTTTATTTTTTTAATTCAAGAAACATTTCAGAGAAGTCTCCAATTTCTGTTGCATGAAAGGGAGTTCATTAACTATATACAAACTAAATCACTTTCTAGGTATTCAAAAAGAAAATGGAGTATTGTCAGTTTACTGAATAAAACAGTAGTTACCGGATTTTTTAATGGTTTGTATATGAAACGGTTAGGGAAAATCCTGTGGCTACAGGTACTGCTAATATGACTTCAGACTCTGAACAGTGTCTAGCTACATAAGTACATGTCGTGAAATGTTTCATCTGAGAGGTCTGGATATATTTTCAGTGTTGTTAAAAGGAGGAGGAAAGTTTTGCAATAATATTGTTGCAAGTTACATGACCTTTAAAGCATTTAAACTTCAGTTAAAAATGTGTGTTACGTTATACTAAATTTTTATAGTACATCGGTAAATGTTCATTTTGGAACGCTTGCTATTTCTTACGGAAATGGACCATATTTGAAAAACTACTTTTGTTTATTTTATTTTGAAATCTTGTCTTGTTCTTGTTGGAGAGAAATGAGAATGCTGAGCTATGCACTTAAGATAGAGGTGTCTCTTTCTCTTTGTGCCAAATCATTTCCCCTCCCCTCTCATGCTTACATCATCTCTCCGTTGTTAAGTGAATGTATAGAGAAAAAAGTGCGAGAGACCTAACAGTTTGTAGTTTTTATTTGTTGTGGATCAGTCTGAATTATAAACTACTTGCAGTGACTTGAGCATTACATTAATACCTCAGCAGGATTTATGAGTTGAGATGAAATATAGCGAGCCATAATAGATAAGTTTTTGTTTTCCATACTTATTTTTACTACATTGTTTTTCCCATGATTCAACAACTTTCTAATGAGAAGGAAATTTTAAATATAAAATAATTTGATTTTAGGGAAACTTTTAAACACAATTTTGGTATGGGAATAAGAGAAATAACAGATCTTCAGCTTTTCAGATGTATTTTTTAAACTGGTTCTGGCAGGGTTTTTTATTTTATCATTTTCTTTCTCTAGTTTAAAATTCTGAGCCTCTTTCATCTGCCCCTTCTATGGCCAGAGAGAAAGTACTTGTTCCAGATAAAACGTTTTGCTTTATTTGTTCTTACTTCTAGTTAGTTTCTAATTTGAGTAAGCTGCCTCACCTCCATCTCCTTTTCATATCTCCTCCCCCCCTAACTCCTCAACCAAAAGATATGGCAACTGTTATTTCTACATGGTTGTCAAGCCGTTGTTACTTCTAGATCACCCAGGGCTTGTCTACATGAGGAAATTGGTCAGAATACCTACTGTGGAATAGCTACATCTAAAGTAGCTTTTCTGGTTTATTTCCTCATGTAGAAAAACCCACAGTAATAACGAAGTATGACATTTTGAATGCTGGTATTGAAGTAGGATGCATTAGAAAAGCGGAAGAGTACAAGTCTTCTAGAAATAGTGCTGGTCCATAAGCCCAAACAAGTGAGATCATTTTATTCAGTGTGCTCTCTGCTAAAAGTGTGCGTGTGTGCATGTGTATATACATGCATGTGCCTCTCCTGAACAAATGTCGCAGGGTTGTTGGTAGTAGCTATGTTGGTCTAAGGACATAGGCATAGACATACCCAAAGAACCTTGCCTGAAGAAAAGTTGAAATTGAATCGTGTAATTTCTTTTTCCTTTGATAGGTGCTGGATAGTTTGTTAGCTCAGTATGGAACAGTGGAGAACTGTGAGCAAGGTATGTATTTAACCCTAAACTCCTATTGCTTTTGCATTCGTAGGAGGAAGCCAGTGGAAAGTGAACCTAATGTTTTTTTTCTGTTGCACTTTTCCCTCTAGTGAACACTGACACAGAGACTGCAGTTGTAAATGTAACATATGCCAATAAGGACCAGGCTAGACAGTAAGTATCTTTTTATGTTCACTTTTGTTTTTACAGTTTAATATTTAAATCAGCCTATTGTAGGGTAGCCTACAGTATACTTCAGTTAACTGTCGGTTGCATGTCAGCTTTCTTCCTCCATCTTTTATCAGTGGCGATGCATAGGGGGTGCATGTGCACCCCCTGAGAGCACTGGTGCACCCCCTGACAGCCAGCATTCCCTGCTTAGGTGACAGGCGGGGGGGGTAGATGGGAGCACTGGTGCTGCCCCCCCTTCTCTGTCCGCCGGTCGACTGGGGAATGGGGGCTCCAGGAGAAACGCAGCTGGCACTTCCGAGTTGGTGTGATTGGCCACAGGGGGGGCGCCCCTCTGACTCAGGAAGCACCGGTTTTATTGTTGTTTGAAATCAAAAACCTGAATTTAGAATTGTGATTGTTTACCATAAATTTGTATTAGAGACTAAAACCTTTTGAGCTTTGAGAAGAACTCCTGTCTTCCATCAGTGGCAATTGCCTTTGAAACAGGTGAAACAATGACCAACTTTTAGGGAGCAAAATCAGGGAGGCAGCTCCATGTACTCTGCAGACCTCCAAAATTGAAAGCTGTTTTCACCACTTCTGGTTTTGCTTATTGTGGCTGCGGTACCGTGCTGCTGCAGACAGGCTGAGAACCTTTGCCTCTGAAAGCTTGTTACTGGAGCTGCATCCGTGTGGCACAGAGCAGGTTAATTTATTGCCTGAGAATAGTGCAACGTTAATGCAGTTTATACTACTTCTGGTTCAGGAGGCAGCCTGTAACTAACTTGCAGCCTGGTATAGTGTAATTATAGGTGTATTTATACAGTGTGAAGTAGTCATTTTGCTTTTTCTCAGTAGACATAGCAGGACAAGCATGGGGTTTACCTTTTGTAGGGGCTGGGGAGGAAGTTCTTGTTAAATGGTTCAGTACTGGCTACCCTACTCTTTACTAGGCAAACATACTGACAGTAGCGGAGACATTTATGGCTGCTACTTCAGGACGGAGCTTTGCCATTTTAAGAACCCATGCAATTGCCAGGTTTCTGTTGCTCTGTCACTTCCCTGATCAGGACCAGTGTGATGCTAATCAAGGATGAGTTTCTCAAATACAGAAGGGGGAGCCTTTTTCAAGTCACCTTGTATATTCCATTTTTGTATTTGGGCCCTCAGTACACTCATTCTCTGATTCTCTCCCAACTCTTCTAATCACTACAGTACAAAAGACCTGAGAGTGTCATACAGAGATTTTGTGCTTTTTTTACTTTGAAATTCCTGCCACCTTGTGGCTAACTAAAATCAGCAGTTGAAATGCACGCTAACTTCTGATAGTACAGGTCCATATAACAGTTGCACATAATTCAGCAAATAGGTATATATTTTGTCCCCAGAATCTGAGTACTCCATGTGATATACATTCATCCTCAAGTGTCTGCTGACTAGTACATTCTAAACAAATATTGCCTAGAACTTGTGCCATGACTGGTTTTTAGAGGTGCACCCCAGCTGTTGAAATTTTGTTTCTCCTTGAATTTTCTGTTTTTATTTTCTTAACTCCTTTTAAAACTTCCAACCTTTTCTCCAGATAACTTGCTTTGAAATTCTGTCTTAATTATTTGAGGAATATGAATGTGTAGCCCAGAAAAAGAAACTGTTAAAATTGCATTTTGAATGTCATGTGAGAGAGCATGGATTCAAGAATAAAATTAAAGAACTGAAAATACTGCATGGAAAGATGTTTCATTCATATTCTTGATCTGCCAACTCTGACTTAAT